AGATGGGTGATGGATGGTGTATTGGCCTTATATTCTTGGTCATATGAGGTGACTGATTTAGTAGGTGGTGTATCAACAACAACTCAAATGTCCCTTGGCTTTTTGTGGTTGTTTATTCAGCCCTAGTAGGGAACATAAAGGGGACAAGAATGGGGAATATCTTGGTTGATGTTGTGTTGGGATAATGAGGGATATTTGGCCTGGGATTTATAGAAAAGGATAGAAAGTTTTATTTGTTTATTAAAAGGTTTAAAAGAAAGAAAATAACAACAAACAAAGGTTGTGGTTTACACACTCTTATTTTCGGCCAGGGCCTAAAATAGGAGTAGGAAAACTTTATTTTGAAAAGGAAATATTTTGGATGTTTAGGGAAGGTATGGAGAGTGTGGGCTCAGCCTAGGGTGGGTGTAGGACAACCATGGTGTTGGGTTGGGTTCTAAGACAGGAAAATGGAGAAGTTTCAACCCAATTAATGTCACCACACTTGGGCTTTATTCCCCTGATCTGTCTTTCCCTTGGCGGGCTACGGAGAGTCTTTGGGCATGCTCCCGGATATATATCAGTGCAACCGAGTGTTGCTTCTTGGAAGACCAAACCACTAGCGCATGACCTATGAATTGACATATGCCACTTGTGCTTTTCCGATAAATCCGACACCCACCGAAATCCGCATCCCTAAACCCAATCAAGCTTAAATTAGTATTCTTGGGATACCATAAACCCATATTGGTTGTTCCCTTGACATACTGAATTATCCGTTTGACGGTAGTTAGATGTGATTCCTTGGGTGATGATTGGAAATGTGCACAAAGGCAAACGGAAAATATTATATCGGGTTTAGATGCAGTCAAATAAAGTAAACTATCTATCATACCTCGATACAACTTTTCACTTACTGGTTTTCCACTTTTGTCACTATCAAGCTTTAATGACGTACTCATGGGAGTTGAGTAAGCTTTTGACTCTTTAAGTTTGAACTTGACTAGTTCTTTTGCGTACTTGGTTTGGCTTACGAAAATGCCATCTTCAAGTTGCTTGATTTGAAGTCCAAGAAAGACGTTCAACTCTCCTATCAAACTCATCTCAAACTCGCTCGTCATAATTTGTTAGATAT